AAGCTCATTCTGACAGCATTAAGGAGGAAAACATCTGTATCCTGATTCATGGTTGCTGAAGGTTTGTCTGACTTTATTCCATTGCAGTGGTAGTTTCTCTGTGGTTTGTTATGATCAAAAGATAATCTATGATAGCTTCTGTGCTTGATCTCTGAATAGGCACTGAACTGCATCTACAAGGAAATTTTTAAAATGAGAAGCTTTAGCAGATTATGTAGTAATTATGTCAAGTAGAACATGTAAGTAATATATTTATCCATCTAAAACTGAAATCAAACAATTATGCAAAATTTAACGAGAAGAACAATATCCTAAGAAAAACGGATATTGAATTATTGATGATTATCGAGTAGAATATGTGAAGAACACCATCCTAAAAAACGGGTACTGAATTGCTGATGATTATCAAGTAGAACACATGAACAATATATGCATCTCTCTGAAACTGAAATCAAACAAATATGCAAAATTTGAGGAGAACACTGTCCTAAGAAAAATGGATCATGAATTGTTGGTGATTACCTTATCTCTGATGAAACAACAATTTCAGCTGCTCCTTTCAGATAGTTGCTTAATAAAAGATTAAAAAAAGCCTATCCTGAGGTGTTATTCAATAATAATTATTAAGCATTTCACCAGCATTAGTGTACGGTTATATATAATTTGAAGAACCAACAAGAGACGGATGGACTTTCTTTTTTCACAAGGCGTTTCACTATTTTATTCAAATAATGACTTCAATGATCCAAATCAATGTTGGTCAGCGATGCAAGGAGTTGAATGTAATATGATCATAAAACTTAATGGTAAAAGAATACAACATCTATTGACTCATCATAGAACAACAAGTGAAACCACGTAGTAGGAAAAAATTTGAAGGTAGGTTACTCCTTGAGTAACAAGAGAAATATACAGAAAGAGATGTAAAGAGAATGAGATGTCTAAATGTCTAACCACACTCTTATTTGTCTCCATCTAAGTTGTATTTTTTCTTGCCCAACACCACATGTCGTGCGTGAAACCTAATGAATATTTATAATTTGCAGTAGAACAATGCGACTTATAAAGTAGACGGTATCTTTTGGGGATATCAAAAGAGGGCAACCATTTGAAAGAGAAACACTTGTTAATGCCTTCCATATCTGTATTATTCAAGAGAGGACGACTATTCTACTACATGAGACACTAAGAAACTAACCAAACCGACGCGCAAATCTCCCACAAGTGCTAGCAACATGCAACAGCAAGAGAAAACTAAAGAGTATGGCGGGTGAGCTTGCGAGCTGGTTCAGCTGCATCAGCCAGAACAATAATAATAATAATAATAATAATAAATAAATAAATAAATAAAACTCTAAAATGACATGCTAAAGCACACAGACCAAAGATAGGAAAAGAAAGAAGGGATCAAAAAAAGGATGAACAAATCAAGTAGGTGTAGTATCGTGTTTCAGTTGAACAGAAGGGAATACCCTCAAGCCAACCTTCTGTGGCACGATTTGAAAAAAGCATGGCATCACAAGTTTCAAATAAACGTGAATAATCAAGGTCTACTAGGAACTACAAATATGAAAAAGAACTACGAAGAAATGTGCAGACTATCTAAATCTATAAATAATAAAAAAGAATTTCGAAGATTGGAATAATTGACGAAGTACTTAGGAAAGCTTACATGAACAGCCCCATCACTCTGGAATAAGTAGAGACCTGACCTACCAACTACTAGCTAGAAGATTATATGAATAAAATCTTGGCATAGCGTTCACTACGTGTTAAACAGTTCGAAGAATTTATAAACAAAAAAAGACTAATATGAATTTCCATCCAAGTAACACATTAGTATCAAGCTTTATCACAAAGAAACCATGGTGAAGACAATCACCCAATATGTCATCATCAACATAAGCCTTACCCTCACCATTTTGGGTTGGCCTTCGAGCAACTTCTTCAACATCTCTTCCAGGATGGAAAATTTCCCATCGATCTTCTCATGAATGGCTGAAATTTGACTTTTGAAATCTGAAAAATTGAGTTGGGAGATCCAAAATTTTAGATTACAATTGTCCGATCTCCCCCTCTAATACTTATACATTTCTTCTTGCTATGGGTACCCAGATCTAGGCACCAAACAACAAAAACGGAAAAAAACAACGGGTCTAGTCTTCAAATAACAAACATTAGCAATACAGAGCGGCAAAACATAGCAGAAATCAATAAATCCTATTTTTCCGCCCAGGACAAAGCTCTGCTACTAATTGGATAGGAAGTGCTCTTAGAAATCCACTAATTCCTTGGCGGAAATTTAACTTCAGCATCCCCAACACAATCCCCAAGAAGAATTAAGAGGAATAACCAGAGAAAAATCTTTTTAATTGATGATATAAGAAGAAAACAAATAAGATACAATGGATCTTCAATTGAAGATGAAGCTCCGGCTCTCCCAAATCTCTAGCTGTCGGCTAGAGCCCAAACACCCTAAGAACAATCTAATTTTAGCAAATAACCCCTCCCCAACCCTAGGAAAACAACCTACTTAAAGCAAACAATAATGATGTAAATCCAAAAAAAAAAAACCCATCCTTTGAATTTTCCCTCCAAACCAAGTCTTAATTTCCTTCTTCAAATGGCTGCTGGACCCGGGGACGGGAGTTTGAGGCGAAATAGGTTCGCCTCCTGTAACAGGGTCGATCCCTACTCGACCGGTCTAATAGATTATTACCCCATTTATTATTATTCGCAGAAATGAATGAAGTAAAAGAGGGAGCTATGATCCAAATAGATTTGAATCCAAAGGCTACCAAAATATAAATAAGCAAGTCACAACTAGTCAGAAAGGAAAAAATCGGTTCTCCTTAGGCCAATGGGTTTGGAGGAGTAGCGGTTTTGTTGATGTGTCAAAACTATTTAGGGTTAAAGTTGGGCGCTTATATCTTATTTTTATCCTTTTCCTCAATTTTAAGCTTAAAAATTGGTCAATCCGTGTACTTAAGGATTAATTAAATAAAATCTAAAATAAATTGTTACCTCTTTCTAATTGTAATGACATATTTTTTCCTTGATTCGTGCATTTAGTTAGGGATTTGAATTTACCTTTTGTATTATAAATATGACCTTCAGATGCAATGAAAAATATAGAACTCCAAGTTCCAGAACTGAGTGTACATTTTTTCTCCTCAGCATTTAGTCTCTCTCCCTCTCTCCCTTGCTCTTTGTGTGCTTGTTACAATAGAGAAGGGCAGCATTTACCATCTCTCCCTCCTCTCTTTTTTGGTTT